AGGTAGTTGTTATGTTTAGGTATGGAGTGGGATTAAGAGATCTAAAATATGGTCACGAAGTATAATCCATTAATATCTGCTTTATAAGTACTAATAAACACAGCCAGTATGCTAGTAATAGGCATGCTAATAAGCAACTAGTTAATAGCGAGAATTGCCCCTAAACTAAAGTGTTACCGAAATGACTGTCACTGTGTCACTGTGATGAAAAATTATTTTATCACATGTTTATTCTGTTCTAGAAGCTTCATCTGAGTTAATACCACGTGTCAAAAGGTGTGAAGAAATTTTTTTTTCTGTTGCAGGGGTCCCATAAAAGAGAACGTGATGGATATGCATTGCGATTGATTAATGTGAGAGCATCCTGGTATAGTTTAGAGTATAAAAGATTGTGACGAAGGATTGTCTTTTGTCACACTCTGCAGATGCTCTGTATGACTGTTTGACCTTCTTGCAAGAATAAAACCCTCTACGGACACCCTGGCAATTGAATCGCCATTGCCTAGTAAATTTTTTTGTTTACTCCCCAGACTGAAATACTATACTATACTATACTGATTTGCTGAAATCTAAGCAGGGACGATAATAGGTGAGCACCAGCCAATGAGATTGTCGTTTGCGCATTAGTTCCGCCCACTACCGGAAAACCCGGCATTTCTTAAAAGCTGAAGAATTCCAAAGGAACTCCGTTATTTTGACAGGAAAATGAAACAAAGAATATCGTTTACATGTATCACATCAATTCTGCATGTTATGTAAGACTCTCTCGCTCTCTCTCTCTCACTTTGCGCGTGTGAGAGAAAGCGTCAGCGAGTCGTGCGCCTTCACACTAGAGTTTAAGTTACACCAAATACACAAACACAGGTGCGCTGCGCATCCATTGAGATGAAATGATAAATATCACAGATCGCTTCACGGAGAGTGAAACTCTGAAGCGCTCAGTCAGAGTGTTTGGCGAGTGAAAATATATCTGTATAAACTTATACTCAGCCTCCAACTCACACACTGGAGAGTAAAATCTAAGAATTTATTAGCCATTGGCTAATATTACACATCATTTAGTCGCCCAGAGTGAAGATTTAGTCGCACATGCGAGTGATTTACTCGCAATGTAGAGGGTTGATTCCCCTGTTTTCTTTATGCTTTCAGAATTTTTGTTTCTCACCGTATTATTTGATAACTTCCAAAATTCCATAACATCACACAAACCCTTCGTAATTTATTCATAAAAATGTTAACTACACAGTCTTGCTCTTTCTAGATTTTCTAACCTCTTTAGTTTAAATGAATTTGCTGGTTGGTTCATCTCTCACAACTGGAACTGATTTCCACTTTTTGAAACCCTTATGAAGAGAAAACCTCCAGAACCAGGCACTTTTTTTGTTTGTTTTGTTTTTGCTTTTGTGTGTTTTATTTTCTATGTTCTTGATGACTCTAGAGAAAACGAATGCACAGATATGAATCTATCTCTGAATTCTAGCTCGTTCTCATTTTTGGGGTTACATCCCAAGAGAGGACCACAACGTCCAACTCATTTTCACCTGCAGACATCCTAGCTGTCTGTAACAATTTGAATGTTTCCACACTTGCTGATGAAACCCTCTGCGCTTTGGGCTTTGTTTTCTGTGTTGTTAGATGTCAATCACATAAGCTGATCAGTATTCAGAATGATAACTCCTTCTCCACTGGGTCTGATTTCTAGCTCCTGAGTCAATTACTTTTCATTTGTCTGCCCCGAATTGCTGAAGCAATGTTCAGCTGCGGTTCCTCGCAGCTCACGTGGTTTGTGTCGCTTTGCAGAGAACACAACACTCAGAGCAGCATATATAAAGACTTGCATGCATCAGTCCAGGCTTTTATTTACTGTCGAGATAAGTTTTCTTCCCTCTTGTACTGATCTGAATTTATGTATTTCTTTCTTTCATATTTACAATGCTAGACAGGTAACATACCAACTTCGTAAGGCATGCTTATTAACATACAAAAAATGGAGCAAGATTTGAAATAGAATCACTTTAACAAAGATGTAAATCAGGACAACCTTAAAATAGTAAATATTTTAATGTAGAGGAGAATGCATTTTTTGTCTTTCTACTTTTTCTTCATGATTTTGTGAGAATTTTTCAAAGTTACATTGCAATGTGTGAATATGATATTTAAGAAAAGTTCTACCGCTTGTAACGTCTGCTTGCTTGTGTCCACTTGTTTTTAACTCGCATGCACACTGCACTTTTTGCGCGATGCAATTTATAAAATAAAACAATAAAAAATCAGTCTGTATTGGATTCAATGTGTGGCTAGCTACCTTTGTGTTCATTTTCAAGTATCCCCTTAGCGCTACGCACCTGCAGTAAAAGGGTTTATTTTTTCCTTTTTGGAGCACTACAATTTTTCGCTACAGTTCACTCAAAAATGAAAATTCTGTCATTAATTAGCCGTAAAACCTTTGTTCATCGTCAGAACACAAATTAAGATATTTCGCGTCACCCTACCCTGTTGAAAAAAACAGCATATGCTGGTTAGGTATGTTTTGAAGCATGGCTGCTGGTTTGAGGTGGTTTAAGCTGTCCTTAGCTGGTCATGAGCTGGTTTAAGCTGGTTCTTAGCTGGTCATGTGCTGGTCCTAAGCTGGTCCTAAGCAACTAGCTCCTGCTCTGTACCAGCACATGACCAGCTCAAACCAGCTCATGACCAAACATACCTAACCAGCATATGCTGGATTTTTCAACAGGGTAGGGTGCCATTTTGGAGAGTATCACGACGCATGTGCATGCTTTTCTCTGAATGTAAACAAGGCTCAGCGCATGCGTATTCTGTGTCAGCAGCACCACGCGCATGCATTCTTTACATGCAGAAAAATCACACGCATACGTTGTGATACTCTCCAAAATGGCACTAGGGTGACGCGGAGGAGAAGAATTGTTAAATTAAGTTATTTTAGTTTTCTTTTCGCACAAAAAGTATTCTAGTAGCTTCATAAAATTACAGTTGAACCACTGATGTCACATGGACCATTTTAACGATGTCCTTACTATGTTTCTGTGCCTTGATCCTGGTAGTACTTTTGCTGTCTATGGAGGGTCAGAGAGCTTTTGGATTTCATCAAAAATAACTTAATTTGTGTTCGGAAGATAAATGGAGGTCTTACAGGTTTGGTATGTTGTAAGCGTGAGTAATTAATGACAGAATTTTCATTTTTGGGTGAACTATCCCTTTAAATATCATAACTCTGCACAATGCAAATTATAAAAAAAAATGTTTGCCTACAAAACAACATCTGGCTCTTCACCCCTTTACCTAAATTCATTACTTCAGAGTTATGTGCCCTCTAGAAGCTTGCGTTCTGCAAGTCAACGACGCATTATTGTGCCATCTCAAAGAGGCACAAAATCACTTTCACTGACTTTTTCATTAACTGTTCCCTCCAGGTGGAATGACCTGCCCAACTCAATCCGAGCAGCTGAGTCCTTAGCCATCTTCAAGAAACGACTAAAAACACATCTCTTCCATCTTTATTTTATCCTCTAACTCTAGCACTTTCTATTCTATTTTAATTCTACTTTATCTATTTATCTTCTTTTTTTATTGCACTTACATATTGTTGCTCTTTTGTTCGTTTTGATTGCTTCTATTGTCCTCATTTGTAAGTCGCTTTGGATAAAAGTGTCTGCTAAATGAAAAATACATTTTTTTAAAAATACAAATTCTAGTATTTTTTCAGCCTGTATTTGATTCAGTATGCGGCTAGCTACCTTTGTTTTAACTTTGAATATGATATTTACCCACCAAAATTAGTCATAAAATGGGGATTCAAAGAATTTGATGTGATTGGTGTATCTATTGCCATTTTAACCCACTGTTTCTACCTATCAGTTCCTGATCTTCTATTTAAATAAGCAGTGAATAAACCTTAGTCAGGGTAGATGCCAAGTTCAGTTTGATGCTTTGAGTAACAGACATGCAATATTAAGCTCCTAGGTCACAATTAGTTTATTTTCAGTTAACTTACTGTTACCTATAGCACTTGATGTTTCCTAGAGTTTTTGCCAACTGGAAATGTATTATGTTGTATGTTTGGTCGCTTACACCAAGGTACACAACAGTCCAGCCCATTGAACAGACTGTATCCTTCACGGCCTCGTTGTCATTTGTGTCAAATTAAGTAGGCTGTCTACCCTGACTAAGGTCTGTGTCCGCAGATCCATTGTCAGTTACAGACTTAAACCGCCTTGACAAGTTCACTTCATCAATTACAGTCAGATTCCACTCACTTTTCTCTAGGCTATGATCCACACTATTAGCCCATGCCTCTATGCTAATAGTCTGTCATATTTTTAAATGGCAGCTATTTGTTAGCCTGGAAAAGACTGACTGATGATGTTTACAAATTCAGCAGGTAAGGTCTGAAATTATCTTCTATAAATCATGCAATGCAGCACTTCTGTTGCTTGAGATCATTCGATAAATGCGTCTGCCAACTTCGAGAGTGATTGTCCCTGCCACAGGGAGACACGCACACAGGCTAGTCAGCTCTCTGTATTCTGAGAGGCCTTATAATTAATTTGGACAGCTTCCAGCAATCTGCTAGTGTCCCAGGCTGGTTCATTTCTTACCCGGGAGAGTGACGGATGAGACGTGGCCAGATTGTCACCGCTCAGTGTGAACCGGGAACTCTCAGAGACGAGCGTTGGCTAACCCCCGTACATCACTTTGACTCTCTGCCAAATTTTTTACAGAACTCTGTTCATTTGGAAATGTATGCAAATGGCAGGCAATGGAGCTCTCCTTGAGTTAGTCCTTGTGGAACGTGGTTAAAAGCTGAAAATTATGTTCATCCTCCAGCCTCTCAGTCTCTTTGCTGCTTCAACTGTTTAACTGAGTGTGATGCTTTAGGGTTGAGTTAAATTTCTTACTGGATTCATGTGAGGAAACCGTTCATTTGTGCTCTCTATTTTGTAACCTATTGTGATTCTTGCACAATTCAAATATGATTCATAATTTAAGACTGCAGGTGTCTTGTGCATGAAATTTTATTTTGTCATTTTGGTTTCGCACAACATTTATCAAATTTGCAGCATGTGGATTGAACGTTGTTTTTTTTTGGTTACATTTCATAGAATGAATCAAAAGTTTGATTCTGTTTAAAAGTTGGGGATCAGTAAGATTTTTAAAGGGGTCATATGATGCGATTTAAAATTTTCCTTTCTCTTTGGAGTGTTACAAGCTCTTGGTGCATAAAGAAGATCTGTAAAGTTGCAAAGACTAAAGTCTCAAATCCAAAGAGATATTCTTTATAAAAGTTAAGAGTCAGCCACACCTACCTAAAACTGCTCGTTCTAACACGCCCCCACATACCTACATCACTATGTGGGAAGATTTGCATAACACCGCCCAAATGTTCACGCAAAGAAAGAAGGCGTAACTCTTATTCTCGCTTTGAAAGGCATCTCTTACATTCACCAAGGCTGTATAAAATTCAGTAAAAACATGAATATTGAGAAAAGTTATTTCAGTGTGATAATATTTCATATTCTTTTAAAATATAATGTATTCCTGTGATGGTAAAGATGATTTTTGAGCAGCCATTACTCCAGTCTTCAGTATCACATGATCCTATAAATCATTCTAATATGCTAAATCTTATTATTATCGAAGTTGGAAATAGTTGTGCAGCTTCATATTTTGTGGATTTTTTTTTCATGAAGCACTGAAGAATAAAAAAAGAACAGCATTTTTTTAGCTCAATCTTTTGTAACAATTCAATGTGTCCATGCTGAGTAAAAGTATTTATTTCGTCTGCTTCTTCTTGTTGTTCTTCTTCTTTTTCTTACTGATCCAAATTTTTGAATGGTAGTGTATACTTTTAATCAATTATAAAAAATGTAGGCTATTATTTTTATGCAGTTACTGTGAATGGAGATTTATTCACCCATCTGCCATCCGAGTTCCTGGAACAAATATAGGCAAATTGTGAACGTTTCATTATTTTCACAATACGTTACATATGATTCATTCTCAAATCTGACTGATCTTGTTCTCAAGTTCACATCACCAACTCAATGATCTGGTCGCAGCAGGGGAGGATTATCAGTGAATAATGACTGGAGTTTGGGTCTGTTCTTCACACAAGCCTGTTGTATGGCTTCAAAAGACTTGTAGCGAGCATGTCATATGGCCCATTTTTATGGTGCTTTTACAACCAGTTTGAAGCCCTCAATCCTCAAGGGGAATAATTGCATGGGGAAAAAGAGCAACTAGTACAATCTTTTTAAAATTTGTCCTTTTGTGTTCCGCGGAAGAAAAATATGGGTTTGGAACAACACGGAGGAATAAAAGATGACAGGGGCTGAACTATTCCTTTAAGTAATGTGATGCACTCCCAAAAATACCTTCTTGCAGCTATGTCCGTGTTTAGCAGCGAAGCGGTTTAAAAATACCAAAGGAGCTTTTGCTCCAGATTTTTTCATTTACTGAAAGTGTCACACTGTTGACTGCTCGGCTTGTTTGGATTATTATACACGGAAAACTAGTGAACCTCCACATGCGCCCCGTAACATGTGCATGTTGCTTGGCAACACACTCCAGGATTCCTCAGAAGGTAAAATGATGCACATTAGACATGCAGAACCAACAGTAGCAAGATAATGAAAATAGGCCTTCTGTACTTGATTTCCCCTCACCCTTCTCTTCCTCAGCAGGTGAACTGCTGAGTATGCTGGAAAACCGCTTTAGATGGAGATTTGTCAAATGAATCGCCACACCTTCAAGGCAGCGCAATTTGATTTTAAGATTGAACCAGGAAGGGTGCCCATAATTAGCGGTGTGATTAGGAACCATAATTAACATTGCGTAATTACCTTGATCAGATGTTCTACTTTTGCTAATAAAGTTATCTAAGCCCCTCAGCAGAATCACAGCAATTTTAATTTGAGGTATTAATTTGGCAAAATCTTTTAATGAAGGCAGTTGGAAGTTGTGGCATTGGCCCTCATGAAAAGAAGAATGTATAAAGGGGACGATGGTCTAAGATGGTTTTTGACTATAGATTTATTTATTTTTTTTACATAGTAGTGATTGTGAATTTATATTATGTTGTAGATGAACAGTTATGTCATGTCTGTTTGTTAATGGGTGATTTGTGGAAGGTTCCCACTGGCATGTTGTTTCTTATGTTTTTAGTGTTTGATTATTAAAATATAGAGTTATTATTTAATAAATCCATGAATTAGATGTAAATTTCCTTAATTTTCATTATTCGGCATAAACAATAGGCTACTTGAGTGGAATAATTTAATCTGAATCCCTGTGATTCTATAATTTGTCATTCAATTGAACTAAATTGTCAAATTGCTTACATTTATATATACACTTACTTTATTTAATTTTATTGATTTATTTTTACATAAATGACAACATTTTCAAATATAGAAATGACTAAAAGTGAAACTTTAAACATTTCTGTCATAATTTTACCCTGGTGGGATTCTTGCACCGATTGGGGGTGGGGGTGATCTTACCTCAGTAGTAATGATTTATGGTAACACCCTACTAGTGTAGGGACCATTTCTCAATATGTTTATTAGCATGACTATTATTAACATATTGGCTGTTTATTACACTATTAAAAAGAAAGCAATGCTATAGAAGAACCATTTTTGGTTCGACAAAGAACCATTCAGTCAGAGGTTCTTTAAAGAACCATCTCTTTCTTACCTTTTCATAATCTGAAGGACCTTCTTTTCGTTCTTCTATGCATTCGTGAAGCACCTTTATTTTTTAGAGTGTAGTGCCTATAAAGCACATATTGTGCATGACCACATTCTACATCCCTAATTCTAACCAATACCTAAACTTAACAACTACCTAAGTATTAATAAGCAGCAAATGAGTAGTTTATTGAGCCAAAAGTCGTAGTTAATGGTTTGTTAATGGATTTGGACCTTAAAATAAAGTGTTACCAGATTTACTGCTGTTTGTTGGTTCTCTGTTGACTGCAGTATTAGTTTGTGGTGATGAAGCATACTGTATACTGAGCTTTGCACATAGTTATTAGTTTTCCTCAGAAAGACTGTTTCCAAAATGGGCTTCTTGAATGCTCTCCTGTTTTCCATTGGTTGGACAAACAGATGATATGTTCTAATCTCATAGACTGACTTCCATACAAGATTTATTATTTATTAGTTTGTCAGGAACAGGTTGATACAGCAGAGTTTTTGAGGATGAAATAAATTCTGGATTTGTCAAATATGTCAGTATAGTGACATCAAATCGTGTTTGAGGGACATAGTAATAAGAAAAGGAAATATCCACAAGCAAAACTGTCTATTACATAGTTTTTTTGAGTTATGTCTGCGTAAAACACATTTTCTAGTTTACCTCTGTTTTTGCTTTGTAATTAATCCATTATTATTATTTTTGTTCAGCCATGGTCTGGTATTTCTCAGAAAACACTATTTAAAGGTTTGGCTACACAAGACTAGAGTTCAGCTAGTTAGTCCCTGCTGGTAGATTGCATAACTATGCTATGACATGGACATCCAAAATTGATTGCCATTCAAAACTTGACTATTGACAGTCATTCAGAAAAGCTGCGTATTGTGACAAAATATTTTTTTAAAGCAACTTCGCAAAACTTCATTATATTACAATAGATGTTAGCAGTAATGGTTTTATAATGAGTAAATAGCATTTAAGTTTAATCTGTAGTGATTTAATATAGTTTAAAGTCTAATGGATCATGAATAATGGGGTCAACATTTAGTCACACTTTTTTGTTAGCTGAATCTGTTTTTGCTTTGTAATTAATCCATTATTATTATTTTTGTTCAGCCATGGTCTGGCATTGTGGTATTTCTCAGAAAACACTATTTAAAGGTTTGGCTACACAAGACTAGAGTTCAGCTAGTTAGTCCCTGCTGGTAGATTGCATAACTATGCTATGACATGGACATCCAAAATTGATTGCCATTCAAAACTTGACTATTGACAGTCATTCAGAAAAGCTGCGTATTGTGACAAAATATTTTTTTAAAGCAACTTCGCAAAACTTCATTATATTACAATAGATGTTAGCAGTAATGGTTTTATAATGAGTAAATAGCATTTAAGTTTAATCTGTAGTGATTTAATATAGTTTAAAGTCTAATGGATCATGAATAATGGGGTCAACATTTAGTCACACTTTTTTGTTAGCTGAAACAAATAATTTTTTAGCTACTGAACCAAACAAGAAGAATCTGATTTAAAAAGCAGAAAAACTCTTGCCCTCTGCAACATCCTGACAAATAGCACTTGGCTACATGGTACAGGACGAGCAGGGAATCCATTAGCGTGTGCAGCCCCAGTCCTCTGTTGTACTCCAGCAAGCACACAGACAATAGTAAAAAAATAAAATAAAAAAAATGCTGCCCCCTGGCCATACCAGCAGCTGCATGCCATGTGTAATTTTGAGCTCTATGCTCATTGATGCAATTAAAACTAAATTAAAATGAAAAATGCACAGTGTTGACATCAACAGCTCTACCCCCTCCACAGCTAAAACTCCCAAAGGTTTCAAAATAAGTTTTCAAATGTCAATTTGAATTGGCAAACTTTCAGATACTTAAGTCTGTGCTCTCCTTGCAGTATTTTACCAAGCATTTATATAGAGGCAAGCGTGAATCAGTGGATTTCATGCAATCTGGAGTACTGCAGTATTGAATCGCATTGATCTAATGGCTTAAATAGGCATATTGATAGTCTCTCAAATGAACTTTAAAGTCTATGAGTAGCATCCACCCACTTTTTGGCTTTATTTTGCTCCCTTTCATTGCGTTTTCATGCTGTCTGCTTTGTTTCAAGTTGCTGAGGATAAAAGCATCTGCTAAAAGAATAAATGTTTCAGTGTAGCTAGAATAACTACGTGTCACTAGCACTGGATGTGTTTGCGCAGCAGATCTCATCCAAATTAAAAGCAGCCTGAGGTGCTATTTCACATGATTGAAGTCCGTGCTAATTAATGAACACCAGCATCTAACAACCCGAGAGCCAGTATTCTACACATACATGTCCCAGTGGGCTTGACTGCCTCTGTTTCTCAGGGCTGTAATTCTCAGAGGACTGAGCGATACAGTCTTCAGCCTCACCTGCAGATGTGGAGGGATGGAAAGAACGAATGAGCCAGGGACCAGGAGATTTGAGCATCCTATAGATTTGGTCACAGAGGTGTGATGATGGAGGGGGCTGTCAGGATGCTTCACATGGGGTAA